TCCCTAAATGCCCGTATCTCAACACAATGTCCAGCGGCAATTCCAATTCTGTAGAGACGAGATACATGGCCTCGCTACTGTAGCGCCAAGGGTCGACACTATCGACCACATGTAATAAACGAATCAAGTGCACCGCTTATACGACTCTAAAACTGCAATTTGCGATGCACACGGTTCAAGCTCATCCGCACTTCGTGGCTTTGCTGTAAACTTCAGCTGACCCTACACCAGACTTGCATACATGTATTACAAGGCAGCCGTGGTGCTACTCGGGGAACCCTTGTGGTGGTGCCAATGAAGACAGCAAGAGCATGACAAATGCTGCGCCTGTGCTCTTTGTTGTAAATGACACCAATCAAGAAGTTGCCTCAGCAACTCCGAATCCATGAACATCGGTCTTGTGTCTGCGACTCGATCCTAGGTAAGTAGGTTGGGCCGAACCTTGCCAAGTCGACCTGGAGTCGACCACATATGTGACGGCCCTAACCAATACGCTATGGTCCAGACGTGCTACATCATCGAGCTGATACATTGTGATAGTACATAGGTGTACCCTCGTCTTACTAGCCGAGTCCACCTCTACCGGGCACTAGTCGGTTCAATGTATGAAGTCCTTTCCAAGTGACCGGGTCAATATACGACTCAGTCGGATCACTATACGACTCGCTATATGGGCTAATTACCACACGGTATTGTGGTCGGTAGTAGTATATGGAGGCTGTCGGTAGTACCATACTACTAGGTCGGGGCTACTACACACCGGTGGTCGGGGCTCCTAAATCCCTTGTGACCCGACTCACGATCGGGCGATTAACATTGCGTGAATCAGACACCAAATAACTTGTCATCCTATAGTCGATATTCGGCCTACTAAATCCTTGGATCGACGACTACCATTTGTCTAGGATGTTGTGGCGTTCGCATTCAAGTGACGCCCGAATCTCAACACTCCCCCACGCACTAGGTTTCCTACGCAATTCCTATTCGGCTGCTGCACTTCGAGAACTTCCCCGGTGCCAGCGCGTTGGTCAGGATGTGCGGCCTTCATGTCGCCCATCGGGCAGTACGTGCAAATCCGACCTCCTTCCGTGCCACCCTCTTCCGCGCAAAGTGATGAAGCACGTCGATGTGTTTCGACCGCTGAGGGCGATCGGATGCTTCCAACGCCGTATTGTTGTCGCAGTGGATTTGGACCGTTCCCGGGTCTAGCCCCAAGTCTCCCGCCATGCGAAACCACAGTGCCTCCTTCACTGCCTGCTCCGCACTCATATCTCCCTCCACCGTCTGCGCCGCCACCGTCGGCTGAAGACGGCTCGACCAACTAACCTCTCCCCCGTACACCAAGAAGACGTGACCGGTTGTGGAACGCCTCATGTCGACATTCCCGGCAAAGTCTGTATCGCAAAACGCCTCAAGGACCTCGTCGCTCCACCCGAAGGTATTCCGTCCTCCGCGGTCCTCACCCAATAGCGCACGACCCCAAACGCCGCCGCCCAATGTGCCTCCGTCGGCGCGCAATGCAGCGCGCCAATGCCCCCACGGCCTGAGCAATGTCGGGCCGCGTGCATACACTCAAGTAGAGCAAGCTCCTAATGAGCCCGCTATAGGAAAATCTTGCCATGTCAAGTGGCTCACCCTCTTTCGTCAACCTCTCCCCCGCACCAAAGGGGACCGAGTGCGCCCGTGCGCCCGCCAATCCGTGCCGCCCAACAAGCTCTCCAGTGAGCTTCTTTTGCATGAGCTTCAAAGTACGCGCCTCCCGTTGCACGCCAACTCCATCCCGAGGAAGTACGTCGCCACCTCCAAGTCTCGCACGTCAAAGTTGTCCGCCAAGTGCGCCTTTATCTTTGCAATCCGCTCCGCTCCTCGGGCCGCCACGAGGATGTCGTCGATCCGAACAATGAGGTAAACCCGCTCTCCGTTCACCAGTCCCACAAGATGCGCCGCATCCGCAAAGGACGCCACGAACTCGAAGTTCCCAAGCTCCACCTTCACCCGCGTGTGCCACGCACGCGGCGCTTGGAGTACAAGATGCGCTTGAGGTGGCAAACCACGTTGGGTCCGCTTTGCTTGTACCCCTCCGGTACTTCATGTTGTTCAGGGACGGCATTTAGCGACCGAATCTCTAGGTGATTCCAGAATTTCGGATCACGACGCCGACGGTAATTCGACGGTGACTAGTAGTTACGATTAGACATTAAATGCGCGCAAGTTACGACGTTACACCCGAATGAGTTGGCGATAACCGTCGATGATGTGTACATTCGATAATAGCCGTTGATGTACGATATAGTGTGAAATTGTCGGACTTACTAAGTGACGGTCCACTGCGCCTACTAGGCTAGGGTGTAGACCTGTAGATAGGCCGTGACTCGGAACACTCCATTTACATTGTGAACTTGATTGATTGAGGATTACCTTCAACAACGCTGTTTTTCAACACGTTACGGACCACGGCGCTAGGGAGGAGGGATCAGCCAAGGGTGCTCTCCATGTCGCGACGACGTCGGTAAAGAAGCAGTCTCTTTCACGGGTAGCCATTGAGTAGGCAACACTTGAAATGCGCAAGGAAGAATGCCACGTTCCGTCTTGAAAAGGAGCGGCAAAACCCGGTGCAAATAAGCCTATGGTTATCTCTTGTCAATGAAGGCATTGATGGGTGCAGTCTCCTATATCACGGATGCTCTTTGAGCCAAGTCACATTTGAAAGCCCTGTAAGGGGGATCAAGTGGCACGGAGAGCTTGGAAGGAAACTTTCCACCTTTGGTACCAAGAAAGAGAGAAAGGGAAAGCATACCTTAGATTGGCTGACGATCAAAGGATATATGGAACGGAGTGACGAATCCCCGGGAGCACGCCTCTCAATCAACGAAGGCGTTGTCCATCATAGGGCTGAACGTGGAGGACCAACATTTGGGGGCGATTGAGGCGTGCAAAACTGCAAAGGAGGCTTGAGATCTCCTAAAGACGACCTACAAGAGCAAAGATAATGCAAGGAAGATGTAGCTCAGGCAAGAGTTGCGTTCCCTCAAGATGAAGTCGGGTGACCGCGTGACCATGTACGTGGCCCGGGCAAAGGATTTGTTTGGGAACTTGACAACTACCGGTTTCAAGCAAAAGCCGGATGAGCTGGCTTGGAGCGTGCTCGCGGGGTTGCCGAGCTCGTTCAGTACCCTGAGAACATTTTAATGGCTTCGGAGGGCGGCTTGAGCTTGGTGGGTGCGATTCTGCTGAAGCTCTTGGTGCATGAGCAAAAGTTCTACCTGCCCAAGGAGGAGGGCGGTGGTGGGTCCGACTCCGCTGTGGCGCATGTAGCTCAGCGGAAAGGGAACGAGGAGACGAGCCACGGCAAAGATGAGAGCCGGGGCAAGGGGCTCAAGTGCTACAATTGCGGTGAGTTTGGTCACATTTGCCCGAAACTGCAGCAAGCCGGATAGGCGGGAGCTCGAACCGGAGCAAGAGAAGGCAGGGAATCTTTTCAAAAGAGTGCCCATTTGCATGAATGCCACTCGGTCGGGGGTAGCTGCCGATTCGGGTAGCTTCTAGCACCTAACCGGGGACAAGAGCCTATTTGAGACCCTCGTGATGTTCGGGGGAGTGGCCGAGAGTTCAACTTCGGGGACAAGGGAACCTTGTGGGCAGAAGGGAGCGGCTCGTTTGAGCTGCGGTGCGTGACACCGACTAGAGAGTGTCTGATGACTCCGAAGAACGTGATGTACGTCTCAAGGGTTGCGGCAAACCTGATCTCGGTAAGCAAGGCAAGCAAGGTCGCATGTGTGCTGTTCAAGAAGAACGGCAAGTGTGAGCTTGAGGTTGACGGAGAGGTAGTCCTTGTAGCTCGGAAAGTGAAGGGGATCTACGTAGTCGACCGGGCAGTGAACGCACCATCTGCAAAAGTGGTTCAAATGGGGGCACTTTCGGAAATGGAGCAAAAGGGCGCGGCACCGAAGGAAGACAAGTGCTTTCTTATGAGAAAGGGCCGAGCTGTGGCACCGACGGATAGGGCACGCCGGATATGAAACTTGGCGAAGATGGTGCAAGACAACCTCGTTGAGGGTGTCGGTGTGAAATCGGTGGCGTTCATGGCGCTCAAAACATTGGTGTGTAAGCCGTGCATCATAGGGAAGCAAACGCGGTTGGAGTTGCAATCAGGAAAGAACCTCAGGTTGGTGCGGACGGTTTGGCTGAAAGAGTACGTCAAACAAGGCTTTCAAGAACGTGTTCGGAGGCAAGGGTACGGTGCACGAGGAAACCGCTCCCTACACGGCCGAGCAGAACAGGTCGCAAAACGGCTCAGCAACAAAGGGAAGCTCCGGGCCATGCTCGAGGACTCGGGGTTGCCCAAAGAGATGTGGGCATTTTCCGATGTGACAACAAACTACATCCGGAAGCGGACCTCAGTGAGCGCACACGGGAGAACCCCGTAGGAGGCGTTCTACGGCAAGAAACCCAACGTGGGGCACATGCAGGTGTTTGAGGCGCGAGCCTATAGGCACGTTCCGAAACAAAGGCGACGGAAGTTGGATCTAGTAAGCGAGCGGTGTGTGTTTGTGGGGTATCCGCCGGATTGTTTAAGGCGTACAGAGTGCTTCGGGAGAGCGACGAGAGGATCATGATCTCCCGAGACGTCATTTTTGACAAGGGCGAGGGGAACAACGGGGTTGTCGAGCTGAGCTCCGGTCCGACGGAAGGTTTTCTAGAGGAGGCGCAGAGGCGCGCGACCGCGCTTTGCCGGCGCCCACACACGCATGCGTCCGCAACCGAACGCGGCCGCGTTGCATGCACAATTTTCAAGACCGACCAAAGTGGGCAAGTTTCGGAAACGGTGCAAAAGACCACAACAGAGCCGAGAGAGATTGCGGATGACATAGGGATGCCAACACCGGCTTCTCAGAGGTACTCCGTGCGTGAGAGACACGCGCCTCGAGGGTGGTACTGCGCCAATTTCGCGGTAGACACTAAAGCGGGGGAGCACCCCAAAGAAACGGAGGAGCAACCGGCCACAGTTATCAAGAAGCCGTAGGGGAAGACGAGAGTGAGCTCTGGCGGAAGTCCATGGACGAGAGATGCGTTCCCTATTGGAGAACGGGACGTGGAAGATCGTCGAAAACAGAAGGGGATCAAGTTGGTTCCCATGAATTGGGTTTACAAGATCAAGCGGGACACTCTCGGAAACGTGGAGCGGTACAAGTCCCGGATGGTGGCAAAGGGCTACCTGCAGAAGCAAGGTATTGACTTCAAGGAAGTCAACGCCTTCGTAAGCAAGCACACGATGTTGCGTGCGCTGCTGGCGGTGGTCGCAGAGCGCGTCTTGGAGGTGCATCAGTCGGACGTCTGACGGCGTTCCTTAACGAGGAGCTGGAGGAGGAGATCTGCGTGTAGCAGCAGCAGGGATACGAGCAAGGTGGGCCGGAGATGGTCTGCCGCCTCAAGCGCACATTGTACGGGTTGCGCTAGCCGCCGCGTGCGTGGCACATGCGTCTGAAGGAGGAATCCGAGAATTTCGAGGTCGTGGCGTCCATGGCGGGGAGCCGGTCTACCTCGTGGTATGGGTGGACGACATCCTTGAGGCGGCCCGTGGAGCGGAGCGGTTGCAAAGGTGAAGGCGCACTTGGCGGAGAAGTTCGATGTGCGTGATTTGGGGAAGGTGACGTACTTCCGCGGGATGGAGTTGACGCGCAACAGGGAGGCGCGCACCCTGAAGCTGACGCAGAAGAAGCGAACGAGGGAGCTGGTCGGACATTACAGACTGGCGGATGCGCGGGCGCGTAGCGCTCCTCTTGGGTTGAGGGACAAGTTAACGAAAGATGGTGAGCCCCTCGAGAGGAGGCGGTTCCCATACAGCGAGTCTGTGGGAAGCCTGCCGTACCTGAGCGAGTGCACGAGGCCCGACATCGTACAGGCGATGGGCGCGCTTGCGCGCTACATGGCGGGGCCGACGGAGGCGCATTGGCAGGCGGCGTTTGGCGTTGTGCGCTATCTGGTGGGGACAGCAAAGGGAGGGGTGACCTTTGGGGGGAGTGAGAAGGCTCTCGTCGGTCCCTGTGACGCGGATTACGCACGAGACTTGGAAACGAAGCGGTCCACAACAGAATAGGTCTTTTTGATGTACGGGGGGGCGGTGAGGTGGTCGAGCAGGCTGCAGCCAACGGTGGCGGCCTCGACGGTAGAGGCGCGCAGCGCAAGCGGTAAAGGAGGCGTTGTTATTCCGCAAGCACGAGGAAGATCTCAAGTTGGACCCCGGAATGGTCCAAATCTACAACTACAAATAAGACGCAGTTCGGCTTCTGAAGCGTCAAATCGTTTCGTAGCCGTCGAAAACATTGATGTGAGTCATCACCTTGCATGCGAGCGCGTGGCACGCAAGGAGGTCGCGTTCGCGTATTGCAGAACGGAGGACATGAAGGCGGACATCATGACCCAGGCGCTGGCATCGGGGTAATTCAAGAAGTGCAAGAGCGAGATAGGTACCGCATAGTCATTAGTGTGTGGGGGAGTGTTGAGATACGAGCATTTAGAAACCCGATCTCTGGGTGATTTCCGGGTTTATCATCACAACGTCGACCATATTGTTAAGTTTTAACGCGCTGCCACTCGGGCCACACTGGCGCTGTTAAGTTTTAGTGCGCAGCCACTCGGGCCACACTGGCGCCAATGTGGCCCGAGTGGCTGCGCGTTAGAATTTAACAAAATGTGGGAACCGGATTCTCCGGTTCTCTCCATCCCCTCAAGCGTCGTCTCTTTACGACCCGTCAGTAACTGGCGCCCCTCCTCAGGCATTCCGTTTTACGCCACATAGGCAACCCTTTTGCGCACTCAGCCGTCAAACTTGTCTACCCTGGGACTCGAACCCAGGTCACTCGGCCCACTCGGCCGCCCGGTGACGTCACCGTGACGTCATCCCGGCTCCCATATTTTGTTAAGTTTTAACGCGCTTCCACTCGGGCCACACTGGCGCCAGTGTGGCCCGAGTGGCAGCGCGTTAAAACTTAACACATATTCCAACGGTAAGTAGTCGTTGAGGTTACATGCTTAGATGCACGCGGGTTACAGCGTCACACCCGAATGACTTAACGATAACCGTTGTTATGGTGTAGGTTCGATATGAGCCGTCGATGTACGGTATAGAGTGAAACTTTTGGATTACTAGATGGCGGTCTGTTACAATTCCGTGATTATGATCAGCCGAATTACTATGGGATTTGGGTTCGTCCCGAATTGGGGTTGACGTAGGGAGCGCTGGCGTTCGTGTTCTTCGGCGGGTAGGCGGTTAAAGTGTTAGGCGGTTTCGAGGTTAGGCGGTTGAGAGCGGCCATCAATGTTAGCCGTAGATGAGGTTATGGAATTTCAAATTTGAGTGTGACTATGAGCTAGGCTAGTGAGCCGAGTTGTATGTGACTTAGGGTAGTGAGCCTATTAGGCTAGTGAGCCTAGTGGAACGGGAGAGACCCGTACGACTTATGGTGGTGGAAACCACTATTGTAATAGATCATTCTACGAGAAGTTTGTGGAGAGAAGGAAGCCCTCGAGAGGCGCTTCGTGTGTTCCACTTAGGATGCATGCTTGCCATCAATGAGTGACGAGCATGAGTGGCGAGCAACACGATAAACCCGATGATGAATACCCTGTTACACTACGACTCCCTACCATCAGTTTCAACACTGTCCTTTGAGCCTACTAGGCTAGAGTGTAGACCAAGAGATTGGCTGTGACTTGGAACACTCCATAAACATTTTGTGAACTCGATTAATTCAGTATCACTTCCAACAAAGCTGTGTTTCAACATTGATCAGGCCGTGGGGGCATTGGCGCAGAACACAAGCGCCCCGACGGAGGCACATTGGGCGGCGGCGCTCGGGGTGGTGCACATTTGGCGGGGACGGTAGAATCCGGGGGAACGGCAAGATCCTCGAGGCATTTTGCGACGGCGACTTTGCGGGGAACGTCGACACAAGGCGCTCCACAACGGGGCAAGTTTTCTTGATGTACGGGGGAGCGGTACGTTCGTCAAGCCGTCTTCAAACGACGCTGGCGGCATCGACGGTAGAGGCGGGGTATATGAGCGCGGGAGAAGCCGTGAAGCAGGCGTTGTGCTTCCGCAAGTTTGGGGGAGACTTGGGGTTGGGCCTAGGAACGGTCCAACTCTATTGCGACTATGGAGCAACACGGCTCCTCAAGCATTAGATCGCCTCGTTGCGGTCAAAGCACATCAACGTGATTCATGCGCGGGAGCAGGGCGCGGAAGGAGGTCGGGTTTGCGTATTGCAAGATGGAGAACATGACGGCGAAAGTTTGCAAAATGTAGGAGAGATATAGAAATTGCGTAGGATACTTAGTACGTGGGCAAGTGTTGGATTTTGGCCGAATCCTAGCCTTCATACGCCTTAGTGTCCTGCTCTAGATTCGTAGCCGTTCGATTCAGCTTTGTGGTCCGATATCGACGGTACATTTCACAACTTAAAAGGCGAGACGTTGCCCATATCGACGGTAGGATGCATGTCCCGTAGTGGTCCAAATTGGACCAATGTCTAGTGACCGTTAGATCGAGAAACAATGGTCAAGAATTTTAAGTGTACCAAATTGAGGCGGCCGTTGGATTGAACATGGACGGGTTCGCCACATTGGTTCCTATAGGGGTGGAACCAATTTCGGAGAAGCGTGGATCGGAACTTAGTTCCATTTAGGCCATGGATTAGTGGGTAGAGTCGGAACCCGTGGTAGGCTAGCTGCCAAATTCCGAGACCTAGTAGTATGACCCTCAACAATATCGCGTTGTGTGTGTTGAGAAACGGAATTGATGGACGGCCAAATTGTTGGGTTAGGCTCGATAAATTGAGCCGTAGGATCGTGAGTTTGTTGTGTAGTATCGACCGTGAAATTGAAAAAATTGTTTCGTTGAGTATGGTGACATTTATAATCCGACCGTTTTACCGGTACGAATAGGGGTTGTGTCGATGGTTCACATCCTATGCTCCTACAATGCCCAACAGAGCATAGAAGTACCACAAGCAGTTAGGGGCGAGTACGCAGAGCCCTACATAGGCAACTTATAGTAGACTATGCGACATTCAAGCTCGTTATAGGCAGCGCTAATGAGTGTATTCATACAAGCCTCACTCATATGGGAGCTTCTATCACGATTCTACATCGAAGTTTGTCAAGATTAGGCTAACTTGGAGCCGTTAGTACTTGTTGAGATTCACCTTGTAGGGGACTAGAATTAGTGTGGTTCACTCGTCATCGGTCTTAGTCGTAGTTGCCGGCTCTCATGCTCATCACACG